TTGAAGAGGTGGGGGACATTAAGGCCCACTGAAAACCAAATGACCCAGAAACAAATTGTCTTGAACAGGAAGAAGAGTAACTCTGATCAGCATTCCCCAAGGTCTATTATCACTGACCAGAAACCCTGCAATGCAGATTTTTTTAGCTGAGGATTTTTTTGATGCCCAAATACCCTTTGGGCATCTGCTGTCACTGAACTGCATGATTTAGTCTTTAGACTCAAACAGCTCTGAAGGTGACATTTTGCGCCAAACATAGCTGCACAGAAACAATTCTCATGCAGGCTGATTTTCGCTCTACAGAACCTGAAGCAAGTGGCTATTTCCACTTCAACACTTTGAAATGAATTTTATGCATGGGGGAATACATCCTAGAGAAAACCTGCTGGAATCCTTTGGACTATGAAGCATTACCATAAATGTTGCTGAGAAATGTTTCAAGGAAGATCCTTAGAGATTGCTGTGAATGAGTGCTGTGAATGGCACTTTCAGGATGTGTTTGCCAAATGCAGTGTCACAGTTAGGTCTGCTTCATATATGCTGTCATATATATGAAACTAAAACGCTGAAGTTTGGTCTAAAACACTGCAATGTACACAATTACTCATCTTAGCAATGCACATTCCTTTGAAATCCTTCTCCCTTTAAATTTGCATTTGTGCTTAGAAAGTGCTTGCTCTTGGTTCCTGGCTTAACAAAATGCCACGTTATGACAAACAGCTTCCCAAGGGATCTAGTTTCTTGTGTAACATACAGTTAACAACAACATAACATAAAGAGTTTAGAACTCCAGGTCTTCATTTCCAGTCCTGGTGAAGGAACCTTTTCTGCTTCACTTGCATTTAGGAAGCCATCACAACTTCACAGTACAATGATGCCCTGATATTTCCTATTTAAAATTTCTGTGTCTTATATATCAAAATTCCTTACAATCAGATATTTCAGACATACTAGCCTTTTTTTTTTCCACACACTATATCAATTTCCTGTACCAACTAGAGAATGCCTCCAGCCCGTGTTTAGATGGAAGTGTTAAAATTACAGGAAAAAAAAAAAAGAAATAAAGGCTGATTACTGAGATGGTAGCAATCCAACAACTCTAATCAAATCTGTGATACTAAACACTGGAGGAGATTTACAGTCTGCAAAAAACACAATGCAAGCAACTTTTTACTAATTTAAATATGAAAGGAAATTTAGCAGACTAAGGGCTTGAATGCTGGCTGCTTTCACACAAATCTACTGAAAAGACAGAGCTCAATAACTGAACTCGGTTTAAATGACATAGATCCCTTTATATATATCTTAAAAAGCCAAAATTGCTTGGGAGATAGAGTCAAACTGCCCATGTAGACATCTCTGTTCCAAAGTGTTGCATACTGATTGTGTGTTCCACCTGATCTCCCCATCCCCCGTAAGCTGGAAATTGTGGAGTCATTTAACTCCACAAACCAATAGTCAAGTCCCAGTCCTATCCCAGGAACCATCAGCCCACCACAGGTCCATCTCCACAATTTCAGAGGAGCACAGAGCCCAAAGGCAGGCAGGAACCCAACTTAAGGATTCAGAGGAAGGAACACCTTGTCCAGACCCCTTCCAGACCTATCTCAGGAGACTCTTAGCCCCAGTATCAAGGTATGACACAACCACAATGAATCAACACTGAATCAATCACCATTTGAACAGAGGGGTGTAACTACCATGGGGTATGGGACCCATTACAGGATGCAGGTGAATAGCACAGGATGCATTTTGGAATAGCACAGGACTTAAGGAGGTTTTTTAGAGAGAATTAGGTGATTTCAGGAGGAATAAGTGTGGAAAAATAGAGGGATACAGACACAAAAAGGGTCAGTCACATGTGAATAGTTGGCTGGTCAGTATGCTTGTCTGGCCATGTCCTCTGTCTGATCAACATGGCCTGTCCTCTCTTCTATTTTATATTTTCATCCTCCATTCTCTTGGCCCATTATGCCTTAGCTATGTAGCTTCTTGAGAGAGATTTCAATGCGTAATTGTCAACTTGCAGTCAAAATAACGTGTTCATCTAGTGATAAAAGCAGGAAAAAGCGTAGTGAGAGAGAATGCACTTTGCTACACATATTGGGAAAAATGGACATGCTTTTAGGAAGCTTTATTGATGTCTGAAACAAGCATAAAATAACTAAGATAAACTCAGAGCCATTGTTACCAGCCTGCTTACACTGTAGTGTGCTCCATCAGCCTCAGATATGTAAGAAAATTCCTTGTCAATCCTGGATCTTATCTATTTTTCCATATTTATATTGGTTTGTCTAACTGAAGTTACTCTCTCTCCTTACATTTTTGCCTCATTTGTCATATTTAGGGTAGCCCTATAACTTTCTTCACTTTTTGAATTTTGTACATTTCCCATAAAATGATGTATTTTTAACTGGTCATAACAAATAAAACCCCCAAATTTTTTGACACTTGTATGTTTGTTTTCTCTATTTTGTTTTGCTTTCCTTTAATAGTGACAATAGTTTTATTATCACTTCTTACATACTTGTAGAGATTGATGTCTTTCTTAGTTTGACTTCTAGCTCTTAATGGATGGCAATTGAAGCTCTGATATGGGGAAGACCTCTAGCAGTGGGTCCATTTCTGACTGTCTACCTCTTTATTTATCCTTACTGTGTCTTTCTTAAATAATCTCTATTGGTAGGAACAGCAAAGCTGGCAGGAAACTGCAATTCTATTTGGTATATTAGCTATCTCATTGGTTTATCAACAATACAACCAGCTGTGGCAGGAAACTGTTCAATTGATATTTAGGTATATTATCTGATAAACATTTAGGAGAAACCAGCTTTTCTTCAGTGTTTCAGACACAAAGTATCATGCATTAGGTTACTAACCTGAATAGTTCAGACAAAAGTATTGTGTATCTTAAATCAGAAGATAATTTGTTTAAAATGTGCACGTCTATGCTTTAATTTTAATGGACCATTTAGTTCTATTAAATTTATTATATACTATATCATTTTGTTATAGTAAACAATTACATTTTGTTTCTGTTTCTAAAAAATTTAAGTTGTTCTACCATTTTAATTAGGCAATCTATCATTATCTTCAAATACCTCCCCAAAAGTATGACTTTGATGCTACTAGGACTATCCCCAAGGATGTATCCAGACTTCACTGCATTGTGTCTCTGTTTCTCCCTTCTTTGTTTTAGAATACGTGACAATGAGGCCTTTTGCAACTCATTTTCAGACCTCTGTCTGTGCTCAGTTTATTTCTATTCCTTCTAAACTCTTAAGACATGATTCAACAAAATAATTTTTCATATTTCAATAATAATTTCTTATGTTGCGACCTTATTGGCCTACATTTATACTCTGTCCTACAACACTGAGTGTTCTTTCTCATTTTGCTTGCTTACAGTGGTGATCCAAACAGAGTTTTCCCTTTCCATTCAATAAAATTAATTTTTTCTGTGGTTTCAAAGACTTCAGCTTTGTAGTATAATCAAACTAATGAATTGGTGTACTTTCAATTTATGTTCTCAATTTTTATTCAGTCTCTCAATTTAGAAACAGTTAGATGTGAAGAGTTGCAGAAGAGCCTCATTAAACAGTGACAGAGAAAAAGCATTAGATGATACTCAGCATTGACAGATGCAAATTGGGGTAGATTTCAGAAACGGTCCTATCCTTAAATATAAAATGGTGGGCTCTGAACTCACCATCAGCATTCAAAGAGACAGGTGTTAGGAGTTTTAATAAGCGCTTTCATGAATTCAGCAGTGTACTCATAAAAGGAAATAGAATGGAGGAAATGTTTAAGAAAAGGGCAGAGAGTAAAAGAGAAAAATGTCAAACACTACTGTACAAAGCAGTAGCATTATCACACCTTGAATATTGCACCTCGAGTCAGGTCTGGAGTGTCATTTTAAAGAGGATACAGTGGAATGGAGAAGAAACAAAGAAAGGTAGGCTGTATGACTAGAGATACAGCATACGAAGTCCCAATGTATTGTGCTCCTGCAAGCTAAGAAAGATTACCAAGAAAGTATCATACACACTTTATGTATTTGCCTCTATTTGCTATTTACTATTAATTATCAGGGTTAGATGAAAACATGGATAAAACATAAATGTTCATCTAGTGAAAATTTGGGGAATAAAAATTTTAAATAGGACTTAAATATGTATGTGATATGACAAAACCAAACTGATAATTGCTTAATATTTATTTGAAAAGGAACTTCATATGCATCATTAAATCAACTCAGGACCAGTGATTATTTTCTCTGTGTTAGATTTTTCAATCATTACTTCTTGCTACATTGATTGTTAGGGGACAAGAATACTTTGGATGTTCACACACAGGAATTTCTGACCTAGAACAATCATTATAATCAATGCCCAAGGAATAAAAGCCCTTCATTTGATAATATAAGTCAAAATGACCTATTTACTTTGCTTTATTAATTTCCCTTCATACTGTCTCCTGCTTCATGGCAAAGCACTTGGTAAATTTTAATTTGTTCCTCTTTTTGACCGGAAAAATTAATCAAATTTTGGTACCTGGTAGTATTCTTAAAATCCAGAAAGTATTCTTTATAAACTGATTTTGTATGCAAAATGTACTAAGTAATGCTTCCCTAAGTAGAGGAAAAATCAAAGTACAGGGCAAATCAATTTCTCCAAATGATCTCTCAGTCAAATCTCTCCCTCAGCTCTTCTCCAGGTAATTTACTAAAACATCAGACACTACCTTGTATTTCCTAGCTTGTAAACTCTCAGTTTCTTTGATCTATCTGTCTCCCTTTCTCTGATGTACACTTTTATGAAAAAACACTTGGGGAAGGTGATCAGCTCAGCCATTCTTTCTGACTGGATTTTGAGCTGTGTTTGTAGGTGGGGAGGTGGTCACTTTCAGTGTTTTGCCTTCAAAATATTTGACTTGTTTCTTTCCACAGCTTCTATGAATGATAGAAACTACAACCAACGCATGACGAAAATGGTTCTTACCTTCACTGCAGAGGATGCCAGATCTTCCATATGGACACAAGCAAACAGCATCTCGATTGGACTTTGGAAAACACGTAGCACCATTTCCACATGGATTTTCATCACAAGTCACAAACTGGCAAAGTTTTCCTGTGTAGAGTTTAGGGCATTCACAATACCAATTTTCTGCATCACTGAAAAATTTAAATTAAAAACAAAAAAATATGTATAAGTACCAAAATGCACTTAAAACAAACAGAACAGGTTTTATACTCATTGAAAATCGGTGGCATTTGACTTATAGTTGTAATAGGTCTCTTTGTTTTTAGTAGTGCACCTGGTATTAGGCATGCCAGAATCTTTATTGGTGACTTGACAGGTTCTTTGGTGTTTAATTTTATATTTTAATTTATGTTTCCTTTCATGGTGAGATATGTGACTTTTCTAATGTCTCAGTAGTTGCTTGTGTTCCATCTTTCATAAAACAGTCCAAACAACTGCTACAGAAAAACAGTTCTTCTATTATGTCTGAAAAAATGAAATCATGAAAACAAAAAAAATGAAAGTTACTACTTTACTTTGCAAATGGAAACATCATGTATTACATATAGCTTGTGGCAGCACAGTAGGATGTAAAAAAAACCTGAATTATGCTTACAGTAGTGACTACATTGAAACTGAAACAGAATAAACAGGTAATATCTCTGCTAAAAACTCTGAAAATTTATGTTTTCAGTCATAAAAACAATATTAGAATAGGCAACAGAATAATATAAGTTCTAATCAGTCTTGAGGGGTGACAAAACAAAAGGCTTAGAAATATGCATATTCTGTTTGTACAAATGATTTTTTTTACAGTATTCAAAGATAACACAATGACAGATATGGTAGGAAAACCAAAATCAGACAGGAAAAACAGAAGTGTAAGACATTCTCATCTATCATTTATTATAAATATAATTTCATTAAAGGTCTTATTTGGTCTTCTCCTTTTTTTTTATGGCCAAAATTAAATAATAGCTAGATAGGTCAGTTCATGTGATTGCTATATATTGTCAGTATTGAACAGAAAGATGTCTGCTTTATACTTGATAAGGTCACATGTGCCTGTGGGTATGAATGCAGAAGACATAAAGTGTGTTGTATCAAATCACAGTCGCTGTGGTTTTCCGATAATAGCACAATCATTAGGATGAGCACTAATGAAATATCAAATATATGTGATTCAAAAGCTCTATTATCTGCTTATAATATCCATGCAATCAGATTAAAGGAAATAATCTGAAGCTGAAAGACCTCCTGTATTTTTTAAAAGAGGGAAATAAGTAAGTCTTGTGACAGCCTTTGTTCATAGCAGTTGATTAGTGTGTTCCTAAACTGACCACCCGCAGATCTGGGGAGTGAGGATCTCAGCTGGAGAGTCTACCAGAATGAATCTCATGAATAATGCCCCCAGACACCTTTGCAAAGAAATTGCTATCAGCTGCAATAATAAATTTCTGTGTGTAGCCTGTTCTATTTAAAGATCTGCTGCAGACACTGGGAGAGGAGTGTAAATGAGATACTGGATTGCTTTCATTTGTGCAGCATCAAGAGTCCTACTTTCAGTAGTTTTAATACCAACATTACAGAATTCAGCTAATTAAAAAAGCAATAATAAACTGCATTCTTCCTGTAAATCTACAGTTGATGGTGATGATCTTTAACACTAGTTATTAAATGTGTTTCAGTTTGTTTATAGACAAAAAGACAGATCATCACTGCTGACTGCCATAATACACAGACTTTAGTCTTCATCTTTAAAGAAATAATTTTCATACATTCTTCTATTGAGCTCTATATGTAACACCGGCCATTTCTTTTTATAGGTTTATTTTTTCTGTTATGGAGAAGATTGAAAATAACAGGTCTCATAACAAATTATGAGGAGTTTATTGTTAACAAAATGAGCAATATTATAACATTTCACTATTGATGCTATAACATCCTAAAAACAAAGAAGAGTGACTCCTCATGAAGCAAAGAAAACACTTTTTAAAAAGTTCTTCAAAGTAATATAAAGCTTGAAAATATAACAGCTAACCACACTGAAGAAAATATCACAGCCAATTCACAAGAAATAGTATACTGAAATACAATGTCCCAAATTATTCTCTCTCAAAGCTGTCATTGTACTTTGTTAAGGAAAGGACAAGATTACCCATATTCTCCTGAATTAACCTCAGCTGCAAGACACACATAACGCTTGAATGACCAGGAACTTCTCCCAGGTGGATTTCACAATTTTATGCAAACCTGCTATCCTTTATAAGCGCAAGAAGAAAAGGAAAGGGGGCAGCAAATCAACACATTGGTATCTTTTGCCTATGCTGTACGTCTGTGAATGATTCCAAAAAAAGTCACTGAATAATTACATGCGTGAGCTGTAAAAAGTGAATAGTTCATGAAAGAAACAAGGAAATTATCAAAATTTTGAGGCTGTGAAATAAGAAAAAATTTTGGAGTGTTTTGCTGAAATATGACTATATTAGTGTTTGAGTTTAGATCCAGAGCATGGTTTTTAAGAAAACCTTCCGGTTGTTCCCAGCTGAAATGCCTTGTTTCACTTGTGTCTCAAGAGTATGTGAACTCAATTTCTTTCAGGTGAATCTGCACCAGAACATTGTCTCACACCTCAGATACTTGAGCTGCTTGGACTGGGCATTCAGTCCCAAATGAGGTCTAGTGTGAGTCAAAGCTCCCTGAAACATTAATAATGGTGATGTTGGGTCCTCAGCACTGATTGATTTACACTGTAAATCCATGCCTATTGAACTACATTACCTACTAATATGGGTGCAGATTTATAAGCCACCAAAAGAAAATCATGCAGCCATGGTATGTATTAAATATCAAAAATGGCTCCAGATTTTAAACTGGAGCACTGACAAACTCCAGAAGTAAATAGACAAAAAATCCCCCTAACTCTCCAGAATCATATAGAGGAAGAATGACACGAATAGTGAGAGAAAATGGGAGGAGACAAAAATAATGTAGAAAAGGAGTGGAGAAGAAAAGAGCAGTACTTCTAGAGCACCATCACCTCATGTCTCCAGGCTGATGATATGGGAAAAAAAAAGTGTAGGAAAAATGAATTGTTCTCTGACATTCTTGTAATCCTCTGAACTGGTAAGGGACACACTTTTCATCACTATTTCCCATGTTAAAATAGTCTTCTGTTCTTTGATTTAGACATTAGATTGGAAAGAAATCAACAAGAAATATTTGCATGATATATTATAATATTGGTAATTCAATAGTACGAATTCTTCTCCTTGAATCAATACTACCTCAGTGACCTGATTTAATAAAATCAAAGTTTTGTATAAGATTGAGAGCTTTGGGATGTCACCACAGGTTTTGATAACTTATTTATTTTAAATATTGCACAGTGCATAAGAGATGGTATCGTAGCACATTAATAATCCAGTTCCAGCTGTATTTACCACAGTTTTTAACTTTTAAACCAATTCTGTTTTTAAAAGAAAAAATTATAATCCCTCTGTACGATGTGTCACAGACATTATTTGTACTCTAGTGACAACTGCAACAGTGTTGTGGTTGTTCAAAACAGAGTATAATTTTCTATGTGCCTGTGTTTTTTCCATCTCTAAAGTGGGAGCACACTGAAAGCACTGCATATGCCATTTGTGTAGTTCTATGCAAGAGAGCTTCCCTGAAAGGAAACACACTCAACACCCTTTAATCATGATCTTTAAGGTCCCTTGCAACCCAAAGCATTCTATGATTCTGTGATTCCGTGATAGTACTAAGCTGAGAATGTCAAAAACTATGTGTCACAATGGGTTCAATATTTAATGACATAGGTTCTTTTAATGCTCTCACTATATGATCTATAATGAAGCTGTGGAAGTTGAAGGGAACAGCTCCTACAGTCAATACATAGTAGATGTAATTCAGTTTATTTTAAAAAGTTGTTACTATTATTTGTTCATAGTGCTATTTTGTTTAAAATTACTGGAAAATGAAAGGAGTAACATAGTTTAAATTATCAGTTTAAGTTGAATTACACTTCATTCAAAGATCCATTAAATTGATCCCCAGAAAACACTAGCATAATGTAAAGACAATTAAGATCTTCCTTCGAAAGCTTTGTGTAATAAACAAATTCACAGAAACTCATTGCAGCCAGAAGGGCAACTTTATCTCATGAATAATCTTAAAAATATCAAAGGACAATATATAAAGGAGGTGTTTCTTCCTTGTGCACAGTAGGTGTTTTTTAGTATATAATACAACTGTCAAACTTTCCTTGAATTATACAGCTCCCAAAAATCAATTTAGCTTTCATGCTGCTTTAGTACTTTCACTCAGGTTTCCTCAATTATGGTATCATCTCTAGATCTGAATGCTTTTGTTGTCTTTACTGTTTTGAATCCTTTTCCCCCTTATCTGGAATGATTATTCTGCAAGTTCAGTGATTCACTTTAATAATTTATTTGTTTCAGTGAAAGCATTTTTGTATTGGTTTTGTGTGACCAAGTTTTGCTGTTGGGGGGTGTGGGCTACAGGAATGGCTCCTCTGAGAAGCTTCCTCCATGTCTGACAGAGTCAATGCCAGCCAAATCCAGGATGGACCTGCTGCTTATCAAGGCCAAACCCATCAGCAAGGATGGTAGCACCTCTGGGATAACATAGTTAAGAAGTGGAAAAAAAAGCCCTGGCAGCAGCCCATGAAAGAGCAGGATCTTGGCAGGACCTGTGGCCCCATGGAGAGAGGAGCCCACACTGATGCAGGTTTCTTGACAGGACTTGTGGCTCTCTGCTTTGGGACCCACACTGCTCCTGTAGAACTGCAGCCCATGGGAAGGACTCGCAAAGAGAATTTCATGGAGGAAACTCTTGCTTACTGATTATCTATTTCAGACCTTCAAAGATGTCATAATTTTCAAGAATTCAGGATGGTTATAATTTATTTTGCAATGTACTGATTCAAATTACTAAGACAGTTCTAACGTTTTAGGATCATGAAGCCTATTCTGTAGACTTTTATAAACCCTCTTTAGACTCCATTTTCTACTCGGTGAATATGCAGGTGGTTCCCCACCACATGAAGGATACATATTCATTAAAATGTATGATGCATAAGAGCTTCTGCCCTGTAATATGACAATTATGGCCACTTCTGTCACAA